TTAAAGAAAAGTGGAACTCTTTTTTTCAGTCTGCAAACTTCTGCATTGTTTGTTGTCTACTGAAGTATTAGATTAAGGGAGTGATAGAAAGCTTTCTACCTCTTAATGCGGGGCTTAATTACTTTGACCACCCTATAAATCAAACATTTACTTCCAGAAATTATCTTTTATTCAATATTGAAAATAATTTGATAGACAAGAAAGATAAAATCATGATGGTTAGCATAAAGTTAATGTTAGGTCACAATATTATATATTATAAGATATTAACACTAGTGAAGGAGAAAGTTCAAGAGAGCTGTGCAACAATATGTTCTAGAAGTTGTGTAAATCAGATGTGAATACTTAAAAATTCCAAGGAATTTTTTTTTAAAATTTGAAATCACAATATTTTACTAAAATCAACAGCTCAAAAACTTTCGATTTTTCAACTTTGCACACAACCATTCCCCACGATAAATTAAAGTTAAGGCTTTTTGATATTATTGTCAGCTGCTTTTTCAATAAAAAATGTAACGCGAAAATTTACTTACCTTGCCATTGGTCATTTGCAAAATTATTTTGTTAAAAACATTCTGATTGTACACACAAGTACTCTGAAGTTAACATAAAAAATGATCGAGTTTCTGATTGTAGATATATGTACGTGTCTATAATGTTTCTGGAGACCAGGTCTTCCAAAACCTATTGGAATTTCCATGGATACCGACCGTTATAAGCGCAGACTTATTTTTGTACTCATATGAAGCAGAATATGTCCAAAATCTTATACGTGAAAAGAAGAAAATATTTGTTGTTAAAGATATATTTTTTATATATATTTAGATATATCGATGACGCATTGACAATTAACAATGGTTATTTCCATTCTAATGTTGATACGATATATCCTGGTGAACTTGAAATAAAAAAATACCACATAGTCTGGCACATCTATTTTCATATTTGGATCTTTCACTTGAAAAAGACGTTAATGGTAATCAAGCTCTGTAATAACCGCGATGACTTTAAATTTACAATCGTCAGCTTCCCTTACTTATGCAGCAATGTGCCTTCATCACCTGCAAACAAAGTTTATATCTCTCAACAGATTTGATACGCAAGAACATGCTCCACATATGTAGAAACAAGAATATCAGCAATTTCGTTTAATCATTTTGAAAGTTCTTTGTTCGATACAATGACCTAATCAGAAAATTAATTTTATCATTCAGTTGAATGTTGACTGACTTTTTTTCATACTTAATGTTAGTCCATTATTTACACACTGATTTGACGACAAATTGTTGGTTATTTCCCGAACATGACAAGAAGCACTCTCCAGGTTAATAACACCAATGTAAAAAAAATCATTCTTTGATCCGGGTAGGGTACAAAATGATGAAGATAAAGTTAAGTTTGTGTCGTAAACCAAAAAAAAGTCGGATAATTTGATAAAAAATTCAAAATCGATGCTTATTGATGTACATTTGTATGTACTGACTTTCTATTAAGCAAAAAAAAACTCTTCAATGCTTATTCGAATAATATAGTTGTTGGCATCATTTTTGGGTAAGTGGTTTAATTACTTAAGATGAAAACCAGCAGGAAATCTAAATCGTGAGATTAAAAATTGAAGCGGCGTGTTAAAACAACGTTGCCAATAAATATAAGCCCCATTCTGCCCAGATCTGCAACGGAGTATATTTTGGACTGAGCAAAATAAATTGAGTATAAATTTGTCTAAAACTCAATGTATGCTTGTTGGAACGTCACAAGGATAATCAAAATGTCGAAAACGAAATCGTAAATACCATGTCATAGAATGTGTTCAAGAGTCAAAATTACTCGGTATTATTATTGATGAAACTTTATCCTGGAAAAGTCACATTGAAGCACTTTTATGCAAGATCTCTGAGAAAATTGGTATATTAAGAAGAATAAGATATTTTATGTCAAATGATGCATTGTTGAAGATTTTTAATACCATGATTTTCCCTCATTTTACATACTGTTGTACTATATGGAGTAATCCGAAAAATGTTGAAAATGTGAAAAAGCTATTAATATTACAAAAACGTGCTGCTAGAGTCATTTTGAACATCAGAAATTTTCAAACGCCATCTTCTGTCATGTTTACAAAACTCAACTGGATGCCTCTATCAGATTACTTTATCTTTAGAAAAACCATTTTAGTTTATAAAGTATTACGTGGATTGATGCCTGATTATTTGAACGTTTTTAATTATGTATCAGATGTTAGCCAAAGACAAACAAGAAATTCCAATTTAAATTTATTGTATGTACCCAGGGCAAAAACTGAGTATCATTAGAGATCTTTCATAGTTTCAGGTAGTAATATATGGAATACACTGCGTGAAAACATCAGAAATTCGACAAGTGTTGTATGTTTTAAAAGAAACTATCTTAGAGAATATCATCATGCGTCTTAATCTTGTTTAGTATTTTTTTTTTTATCTTATAATTCTATTTTTTTTAAATCTTATATGTACTCTATTTCTTTTAACTATGTTTTACTAATACCTGTCTGTATGTATGTTATATTTGCAGGACCATATTGAAAACTAGCATTGTTGCTAAAGTATGTCATTCTGGATGAATAAAGGCTTTATTATTAGTATTATTATCCTTATTGCAAATTTTTTTTATAAATTCAACTTCTATTATGTTTGCTCGATGGCAAGTTCCTTAATCATTAGCTTTCATGTTGATTATTGATCGTCAGTTAAAAGCCGCAAATAAAATTCAATGCAAAATTGATGTCACTCGTAATGTAATTGGAGAAAAGTAAATTTTTCTACAAATCAATAAAAACACAAAACATAGATTTCCTTCTACCATTAATTTACTTTTGTTTTTGTTATGCGGCAATTTCTCATGTAAGTGTTATTTGTATTCTTTAATGGAAATGAAAAAAGAACTTTCACGTAGAAATTACTTATTTACAGACTGTTTCAAAATCAGTGACGTGTGTTAAGAGACATACAGAGTCGGTGATGAGTTTACCCAAAGTTACATGAATGCTGAATTCAAGCAATAACTAATTAAAATAAGCTATAAGATCAAATTTTAAAATATTTTTCAGGTTCTGAAGCCTGACCAAAAAAAAAACCAAACAAACAAAACAAAAAACAAGCTAACTTTAGATTTTGTCTACAGTTCACATATTCAATACATTCTATGTATATGATCTCTGACATATCAGTAATGAACTTATTGACTTTTTGATTAAGGCAAACTCAATAAAAAAAGTATAAGGCACGTGTACGGACATATGCCTTAACTAGGAAAGACTTGGGCGATTTTCAAGATTATAAAGGGTTGAAATAAGCATTCTATTTATTGTAGAATTTTGTACCCGGTGTACATGTAAACCTTATGCATAATATTGTAACCTTTAGATCTTATGGTGGATATTGTTACCTGATTTTGTTTACATAAGGTGCTTAACTGTGCTTTGATTTTTTAATTACACTATGCATATGTTGACATACTAGTATTCTAGCTGTATGTCGTGCAGTAAATGATTAATACATGACCATTTTCAACCTTGCATTATTACCTGTGTCAGAGTACACTTGCATCAGGTTTACATAATGGGATTCATAAAATGTGCTTTCCTTTAAATTTCATAAGTAAAATTTTTATAGTTAATATACTTCAGTGATAAGCGAAATATCCGTCGAAAATTTAGTTTATAAATAATGGCCAAACAGTAAGTATGAAAAACGTCTGTCAGCATCCTAGATAATGATTGATTGTATTTGCAAAGATGGTCATTGTATCGGTCATAAAACTTGCAGAATGATGAATTTAAACGAGACGGTTTTTATTCTTCAACATGTTTGCAATAACATTCCCCGTTTAAGAAATACAATTTCATTTATCGAATAAACTGAGAGATTTATAAAACTCATATGCAGGGATAAGGATATATTGCTGTAAAGTGTGGGAAATTGACGTTTGAAAAGTTAACGTTCATGATTGTCATAAAGCTTTGCTGTTCGCTTACCATTAACGTCTTTTTCCAGTTACATCCAAATGTGAAGCAGACGTGCCATACACTGTAGTATCTTCAATCTTATGTTTGCTGGGTCTATGAATTAATATAATCAACAACTAAATGAGAGTAATTATTGCAAAAATGCAATTAGTAATAATTGGATTCAATTTCATTGATGATATTATCTTCAAGTTTATTAATTTGTGTAACACTATGATAATGTATATATGACTATATGTAATTAATGGAACAATAATACATTGGGTGATGCCATACCATTATGCCATTATGTAATGGAATGTCCATATTTTCGTCTTGACATGTAAAACTTATCGATAAGAAGTATATTGCTCTCATGTAAATACATATAAGTTTGAGAAAATTATGTCCACCACAAATGTTGACTCGCTCTTAAAGCTGTCTTTATTTGCTAAAATGATATTGGCCTGCTTTCAGTAATTATTTTCTTATTTGATACTACTCTTCCTTACTTGACTTTGTATTTTGTATATATGTAAAAATGTTCTTGTACCTCATGTACCATTGTATGGTTTGAGAGTAAATAAACAAACAGAATATGTTTATGTATATGCATCCCTATAAATAGTAATTCTTATTTTTGCGAGCAATAAGCAATAACTTGTTCAGCTCAACTATCAAACTGAATTACACATCAGTTTCATTTGATGAGAATGATTATTGAATTGCTGAGTACCAATTGATTTAATTTGATGTTAATCAAATTCATTGAACAAAAATCAATGAAAAAGCTTTTTTTAAATTAATACCTTCTTTACCAATAGTATATATACTGATAAATCCATCATATGAGTTATATTTTTAGGAATATTTTGTAAAGTTCCCTATCATGTCTGTAAAAGAAACAAAATTCAACATTTATTTCCTTCTATTATCAATTAAATCCTAAATCAGAGAATCGTAAAAAATTATTTGATGCTTAATGTTGAGTTCACTGATTTTTTATTTCTTTTTGAAGTTGCTACCTCGTTTGAAGTGGCGGCAGGGGAGACAAACTTGGTGGAGTTGCAAGAAGGGGGGAACGTAGTGGTAAATTTAGTGTATGAAGCCTCCGACACAGCCACGTACACTTTCGCCGCCAGTCTTGATACTGGAACTACGCTGTCCACCACGGGGGCCACAAAAGACAGTACACAGAAAACTATCGCATACACAATAACCTCGACAGACGTTACCGATGGATGGGGGACGTATCTCCTAAATTTTACGTTGGACGACGGAACCTCAGGCATAGATGTCTACAAGGAAGTTGTGCTTTTCTACGAGGAAGCAATTTCTGGATTTCAGGTATAAGTTCATTAACAGGTCGGTATTAAGAATCCATATTCGTAATACATTACGTGTTTCCTTGTTTACGACGCGTTCAGAACACAAAGAAATTGAATTTTTACTTTGATGTTAGAATGAAAATAACATTTTTATATAATATCGTTATTTAAAGTGAATGTCGAATCAAATTTTAAAAAATGACATAAACGTAAGACTCCCCTGTTACATCATTTATTTCCTATGCGAGATAAAGGTTATCATGTCAAAAATTATTTCCTGTTCAAACTTTTTGTGAAACTTATTTTGATATTAAAATGAAAGGAACTCATCAATATCATTTAATTTAAAACTGTGATTCTGGATTTAGCCAGCAAGTTTTTATTTACGTAAGATATAATTTCATTTTAGATTTCAAGGACAAACACATTCCTTCCTTTACAAGAACAAACCTCATTCACAGCCACATTTACTGCAGGCTCAAATGTTGAAACAGAGTGGTTTTTAGATACAAATGACACCTGTTTGCTGCAGCATACGGGAAGTGGCTCGCGCAACTATGTCCTTAATTTTACTTTTACCGTCGCAGGAACTCATAATGTAACTGTAGTAGCTGCAAACACCGTTTCCAGAACGTTCGATTCGATGCTCGTGGAGGCTATTTACCGGGTCAACGGAATGAATGTGACGACACCAATCACAGCGGTTGGGACAAACGAAAACGTAAATTTTACAATAACTGCTAATACTGCCGCAAATTTTCCTCAAGGTCAATTAAAAGTGAACATTTCATACGGTGATGACGGCACGGATCAAACTGTGGATTTATCAGACGTAGCAACTTTGCAAGGGAGTGGTTATTTGGTTCAACGTCCCTATACTTCCCAAGGCAATTATACAGTCATTCTGACATTCTATAACGAGTTGGGTTCGTACGTTATTTCCAAAGATGTATATATTTGGGACCAACTTTCGGTTACTTTAAGTTCGGCTTTCGCAAGTATAATAGGTCAACCCCTTTCATTTGACTTTATATCGCCTCCAAACTCAAACTTTTACTTTTCCATATCATATGGGGATGGCGACTTGTACGAGGTTACAGATGCAAATCTATCTGCATCGTATTCTCACATGCCTTGGAACCATACTTATGATAACAGTGGAACTTTCAATGTTACAATGACTGCGTGGAATCCCTTCTATGTCAGTGTTTGTTCTTACCAAGTGACGAGCCAGGCACCTTTGTTGCCAGATAACACAACTCTGTCACCAACATCTGATGAGATTCCTTATCCAGACGGAATCGTGAACTTTACAATTGTAATGAATGCTGATGAACCTACTCCCAATGCAGTGCTATGTACATTTGACTATGGAGATTCCACGGTAGACACAAATGAAAGCACAGTTTTTGACTATAACGTTGCTGTAATAAAGTCTCACACATACACAAGTGCCGGAACATTTATTTTTACGGCGAATTGTTCAAATTTAATAAGCAGCATGCTAAAGACAGCAACTATAGTTGTACGGACCTTTACTCTGAATTACTTTGGACTCCAAGTGGAAAATCCAGTTCCAATGAACATGACAACAGAAGTTTTTACTCCTACAATCGACTATCGGCATCCAGTTAAACCCAAGCCGATTCCTAGAGAAGTAGCCTTTGCGCTAACATTATTCAACTGTTCCAGAATGCCTCCTAATATAAATGCTCAGTGGAACTTTGGGGATGGTACAATCTTATCACCAGAATTACAATCAACATTTGACAAACAACATATTTACAGTGTAAGAGAAAATTTGACCGTTAGTGTTGTGCTTACGAATAATAATGGGGTCCAACATACTATCACAATGATTCTGGTACTTGGGTTAACTACATTGAAAAGTGACAAACAAGCAGCCCCCATTACTACTGGTGTGTTCACATTAACTGCTACCGGTAGTCAAGGAACACCTAGCTTTGTCTTTGATTCTGACTCTGGTGACGTACCATCTTGTACAGCTGGTGTTTGTACAGTTTCATATTCCAATTATGGTACATATTTACCGAGTGTCACAGCAACATACGACAGTTTGAAAGAAATTGTATACCTTTCTGAACCTTTGGCGGCAGATTATGACATGACTGGAAAACTTGTTATAGAATTCAGTAACACGACAGTTCTCCTTCCACCTGGAACTGTTACTATTACAATTACTTCTAGCATGTCGTTTCCGTTTGTTAGATGCAGTTTGCTCTCTGGTGATTTGATCGATAATTCATTGCATGAAAAAGTTCAAAATATAACTCCGACAGAGCCAATGGTATTTCCCTATACCTACCAAACCCTTGGTAACCATAGTTTATCTGCAAATTGTTCAAACTATCTAACAGCTATTCCAATTTCAAATAGTGTATATGCACGGAATCCATGTTTTACAAAAAACGGAATTTTTGACCGACAGTATTCTGATATTTCAAATCCGATGAAAGTTTACACATCTCAGGATGTATATATTTCAAGTAGAATGGGAGTAATTTGTGTAGAAAAGACAGCAGACTTCGGATGGGAGATATTCTCAAATTACACTAGTGAGGAAGGCAAGATCAAATTTCCATACACTAACCCTATCAATCCTTCGAAAGGCACAATGTTTTTTCCACGGGGCACAATAGCAGAAGGTAAATATCTAGTGACTTTGAACGTTTCTCTTGATGGAACATGGATCAAAGAACCAATCTTCGTCCAGTTCATCAAGCCAGCGCCCTATGCCTACATAGTGGGTGGTTCAAAGAAGGAAGCAAGAAAGATGGATGAAATGATTGAAATAAATGCTCTAGATGAGTCATATGATGCCGAAGGTGGATTTGGAAAGAATCAAAACCTTACCTTCTCGTGGGACTGCAAGACGTGAGTTCTTCTTCATTGTTTTGAAAGGGTCAACATTTTTTTTCATAACATGATCCAGAGATATATGAAAAAAACTAGGCAAGATAAAAAAGCATATTTAAAACTGATTGTATAATTTATGCAAGTCACACACACGCTCACAGAATGAAATGTCAGTCATTGTTCTTCAGCTAGGAACTGGCATTAAAAATTGTCCTCCAGTAAAAATGCATCTCTGTAAGGAGTATGCAACCGAAAGGTCTAGTTACATACTTAACATTAAATGTGGAATATTGAGATAACTAATCCCATCAAAGATCAAACAATACAAATAGGGAGCAAAAGAAACACGGACCTCTTAGAAATTTCAAAGGTAGATGTGGGATTCATAGAGGAGTAAGTATCATCTCTCAACCTGTAACAACTGTCATGTGCTAATTGTCATTATAGGGCATTTCAGTTTGTAGATTAGTATAAAAAACGTCAGTCCGCCTTCAAAAATGATAGATTTTATTTGTTGACAACATTCTATCAACCATAGAACCCGTGAAATGGGAACCTTCAAAAAGACTGTTGATGTCATCTTGTTTCATCAACTTGTTTGTGAAAAGGTTGCCATGTTTCAGATACTGTTTGAACGGTTTTGGTTGGGTTTTTTTTTTTTGTTGTTTAACGTCTCTCTCAAGCATTTTCCACTCATTTGGAGACGCCACTACATGCACTTTCCAGTGGAGATCTCTAGATGTTGTCCTATACTAGGCACTCATGGTCAATGAGCAGTGAGGGATCTTTTGCGTGCTAACACATACTGTGAGTCGGGATCCCGGTTTAAACGGTCTCATCCGAAGGACCGGTCTTCACTTCCAATAGTGGATTCAATACGCAAGAGCATGCTCTACGTGCAGTTGAAACCGCATGTAGAGCATGCTCTATCGTATAGAATCAATAAAAAAAACATAAACACATTGAACAGCTTATTTACAGTACAGACACTTGATTATTGGAAACGCCACCTTCCGTATTTTTTTCTTTTGAAATCTAGGGTCGACACATCTTCTACCTATTTTAGCATTCTTATATACACTGCCTGCTTTTCTCATTTTATGTATCAGCTTGTCTACATGGTGTCAACAATTGTTAGGCGGTAATTGTAGTGCTGACCTTGTCCTTTTAGAAATTGATCATAAAATTGTTCAGTATGTTTCTTACATGTAGGTCATTTAAAATTTTTGTTATACCGGGTACTTATCTTAACATTTGATCTTTTTTTCATTGGATCGAATTGGCCTCTACTACTCGTCACCTACTAAAACTGTCCAAAAATGAGAATTAAAGATTAAGTTGCACTGAGAATACATTATCCATAAAACATATTTTGATATAACAAACTAGATAGTAGAGTAGATTTCTTTTTAGCTTAATTGCAGAAATACAATTTGATCCGTAACATTTCCTCAACAGTGTAAACACTTCTGACTTGAATGAGATTGAAATAATCGTCAACAACAACTACACAAGTCCAACAATAGATATTGGGAATTGTACTGTAGAAGGACCCGAAAAGGGGAAGAAAAAACTTAATATTACAACCTCCCCTGGATACATTGTCACTGTGTCCGTCAGTGATGGGAGAAAGTCTACAGAGTATTCTCAGATGCTGAGCATTCTGGAGGGAGATCCACCTAATGTCAAACTTGAGTAAGATTTTAACAAAAAGAAATTTTTAAACTATACCTTTAAGTTTGGGCAATTTTATTCCGCTATAATATTGTTCCAAGTACATAGAAATCTGGTTGACCTTGCAATTTTTATTTTCTAAAACATATGGCTAACGATTATTTTTTTTTTCTTGTTTCGTCAACTTCTACATGTTAAATTCACAGGTGTATTATCAACTGCAAGGAAAAACTGGCTGTAACCTCTAGAATGAATGTCCTGGCGAATTGTTTAGATTGTACTGAATCAGAGAATCCATCTTACGAATGGAGTTTGAAGGAATTTAACGGTTCAACGTGGAATTCTATTGACCTGCTCTCAAAAACAGCAAACGGTCTGTTCAATGTTTATATCTGCAACAGTTGTTGATAAGCTGAAGTCTCACTAAATATCGAAATGATTTTAAAATGAACTTTAAATTTGACTCGAAAAAAAAAATATTTAAAATCGAAGTTTCCCACATTTTTATCATCCAACTTAATCACTATACAACCTTACCTGTTTCTAGGAATAGATAATCAAGCATTGGTTCTAAAAGAAAACACACTTGATCCTGGTAAAAAATACACGGTTACTCTAGTAACAAGCGTCGCTTCACGTACAGGACCTAGCACTGTCATCATGGACCTAGCCACCAACTACCCTCCATACGACGGAGCATGCTCCGTGACCCCGACTACAGGTAATTCAAATTTCAGTATTAAATGATCATATTGATAAGCGCTTGATGTGACATTTTTCTTCTAATAAGTAATCACCTCCATTTAGTACTAGGAACAAATTATACTTCATGGCCAAAAAAATGAAAAAGTTCCTAGCATTAAAAAGAATTAAGAATATAAATTCGTAATCCAGTTGATTGCAGCCCTTAGAAAGGGTTTTAATAGTTGGCAGGGTTGCACTCAAAGTCATCATGTTAACCTTGATATTGTCTTTCCCATTATTACCGAAAGTTATTTTGACAAAAAACATGTAAATGTAAAAAAAAAAAGAAGCTGATATCTTAATGGATTCATCTCTAAAATTGATTTCAAGTAAAATTGTAAAGTTTCATATTTATATTAAAAAAACATTTCTTTTTAAAATATACCATCCAATAAATTACTTATTACTTTCTTATTAGCTCACCTGACCCAAGAACCTACGTGAGTTTTTTCCGATCGAAAACTCTCGTAATCCTAAATGTTTCACTGAAACTACAACTTAAACCACAAAAAAAAAAACATTTTACGGTACTCTTTGCTTTTATGTTCAATCAAATGATTAAAGGGCTTAATTCATAATTAACGAAAATTTAATGGTATCATTTTCAAACGTTCCTCTCAAGAACCACAGGGCCAAAAAGTGATAAATCTGAAAGCTTCATTATATAATGTGATTTATTAAGTTTTTACAGTTCAAAATGAACGAGTTTTACATTGGTATATATAGGGTATTTAAATCTTTAAAAATCTTCAAAAGAACAGCGCAAGTAAGGTTATTGATATTTATTTTGAAATATATTTAGACAATTAATTCATCTTTGAACGTTCAAAATTTAAAAATGATCCTAACAACTATATATACCTATGTGTATGTCATTTTGAACTGTATAAACTTATTAATCATAAAAAAAAAAATGTCCAAACTCGAAACGTCATTGTAGAAATGCTTTGCTTTTATAGGTAAAATTACGTTATGAGTCGAAAAAGTTTGAATGAAACATTCATGATGATCGAGTAATAGAGATTATGGATCAGTGCATTTTATGTTTGTTTCTATAATTCATAGATTACTTTCATGCCTTGCTGAAAGGAAGGTTATTGATTATAATCTTTCTAACAGATATTTTTTTCCTATTGGAAAAGCAATATTTTGTCAATTATGAGATATCTATTTTATTATTTAAACGAAATTCGAGATTATTGATGATATATATCTCTCTCTCTCTTTGTCAAGTTCCAAATGTGCTTACTGGTATCAATGAGTGTCTCTTTTTGAGATCGAACTTATTTATATCCGAAATCCATCTGTCAAATCAAAAGACCTTGCATCCTCACAACATCACGGGGTTCTAAGTCATCACATTTCCGCAATGTGTTGACTCAAAAACCCTTAATGTTGTGAGAATGGACCCATTTTTACATGTTTATTTTTGTTAATTATGATTTTCATCGACCAAACACTATAGTGATTTAAAGCTCTTTAAGTGCAATGATGATTTAATAACCTAGTTAAAGTTAACGAAGACAAATCTAACAAAAGAAAATCATTAAATATATTCTCTCTTGCCCAAAACGTCTTGTTACAGACAGGCATTTTATTTTTATATCAAATACATGTGCTAGTACAAACCAATTCTTAAGGGAGATATGAATATCGTAAAAATATATGTTTATCCCACGTGTACCTCTTTATCCCGGTTTGGATCCGAATATGATTAATTGGATATTTTTTGATATCCCATAGTTAAGTGCAGTTATGATGTCACATTGTCTTTTGCGTTAGTGTGATGATGTAAAATAAAGTGGGGTCCTTTATAAAAACAGTGTAAAAAATTGGTTGTGAAGTATTAAACATTGGATAAATATATCTCCCATGATTTTTTGTTGGATATGACTTTTATCCAACTCGTTGTGTGTTTTTATCCCCTTACTGATAAGGATGATAAAAAAAACACAACTCGTTGGATAAAAATTATATTCAACTGCAAATCATGAGAGATTTTCTATATTTAACATTTATATAGGGAAGGCTTTGAAAGACAAGTTCAGCATTGAATGCTCTGGTTGGATAGACGAGGGCACGAACATGGAACGAAATCTAACAAGAGACAAGAAAAATGGCGAACCACTAACTTACCTATATGAAACAGTAACCAAAAGAAACTTGTCAACTGGGATCACGGACGTAAAAACTGAAGTGTTCCGAGGAGGTAATGCAATAAAATCTTAACATTCGAGTATGCAAATTTAATCAAATACTAAATGTTAACCATTACCAAACGGTGGTTTTGTTACCTTGTGTTTGCGATCAAAGAATTTTCAGCGAACATTAAATCATAAGAATATATAATATTATGAAACCATTTACAATCCATGATTTTATCCATATTTTTAAAATTCCTTAATTGTTTCTGTTTAAATCACAAAAAAGATTATCATTTAAAATGCTATGATCATGAAATAAACACCACCATAAATTAACCGGCCATCTTGGGAAAATTTACACGTGAAATGACATAAAAAGACGTCTACAATATTCATATAACATACGATTGATTGACTGACTTTACATTTTATTTTGTTTTAATGATTGAAATACATAGACATATTTTTAAACAAAATACTTTTACATTTTGTAGGGGAGAGTACTGTTACTGACGTCCCATTACAGCTAGGAGACCCAGCATATGATTATAACGTCACTGTCAGAGTTCACATTTATGATCGGATCGGAGACAAGGCCATTTTTGAAACAAATATTAAGGTATATCCATATATTATGCTACTTCGTTTGAAAATATTGGAAAATTCCTTTTATGGTGTTGTCCAGTGATCATTTGCACTTCGTCATTGAGACGAAGTGCAAATTCCTGGAAAAAGACTATTTTGTGAAACTGCTGCTGCCTATTCATGCACTTCTGGTTTGAAGATAAATGAAACATACTCACGTATTTGTCTAATTGTGTAGGTAATGCCAATGGACAACGTCACTCCAAACTCCAGCTCTGACACTACGGCAATCAACTCGCTATTTGAGTCCTTTGAGGAGGCCTTCAACATTACTAATGCGGGTGGTAATGATATGGGGGTCGTAAGACTGGTCAGTTCTGTCTCCTCCTATATTGTGGACTTCTCGGAGGTGCGGGTCACACAGTTTATCTTCATTTCCTTCAAACATAATAATGACTCGGAATACTGTATTCACAGTTGTCCTATCAATTATATTATAATCAGTTATATTCAATTGTGTTTTATAAATTATTCAATTCTTTGTTAACCCAAAAATAAAAAGGAAATGAATAAGAAAACATTATGAAAAGGGTGTTAGAGTGCTTACATACATATTTATCAATGATATTTTTTGACTGTTCGATGAGAAATTTGATATTTAATTAGGAACAAGTCTACAAAGATTAAAATGCAATGCTTCAATTCATAATCATAATTAAAAATTAAATGAATGTGAAGAAACTTTTAAAACAGCTTCTGTCAAGATATGAATAACTGTATTACAATATTTTAGGGAGACTCACAGGGAACAACAGAGGAGGATATTTTATCTGGTAGTGTATCCTCACTGACATCTTCCACAACGAGCGAAGTCACGCTTCTCTATCGAAAGGTACTTCAACGACAGTGCAGATACTACTGTATCCGAGGGTGTAAACGCCTCAGGTTTATGTACCTTAAAAGTGCATCTCTCTTTTCCTTTCACATAGAAATAATTGTAATATTTTAAGTAAACAAAGCCAATTGATGCTGATTGAAACCCTCTTATTTATATTTTACAGAAAACAGCTCAAATGACCAGCATTCTTTTAAATACAGTCAGTTCTGTCCCCGGCACTACAAAGCAATTCAGTGCAACCGACGTACAGCAAATCTCGTCTGCTTTGGAGAGTGTCACACGAAGCCCATCCTATATTACTACCGAGTCTGCGGTGAGTTTAAAAGAATAAAAGAGAAAATATTTTTGTTCAATTTATTAAATACTAATACTACTCTTGAAAGAGCATGTTCTGTGATTCCCTTTTATAGGTATAAAGTTCCACTCATTTATCGAAGTTTTCAAAATGTAATGCTTTAAAAGGGATTAATGTTTTCGTTTAAGAAACATTTTAATTTCTTTGTACAGGAAGCTTCAACTTTAGTAACAAAGAAAATGATGGAGAGTGTGTTGAACACATCTCAGATCAAGCCATTCCCCGTGGAAAGTCTTGAAAGCATGCAGAGTGCTGTATCCAGTAAGTACATTGTAATGTCCTAGTTCTTTATCCCAGTTCTGTTTATGAAACGCATGGAGATTTCAGATGTGAATATAACATTGTTACATTAGGTTCACTTTCCCGAAAAAAGAAAAATGATTTATATTAAAAAGACAGATAAACTTTCTGGAAACGTTTAGAATATATAATTGCTAATAAATGGTTTTGTGAACATTTACATAGACAATATTTTATTCCAGAGTTGACTATTTTCAGGCACTATTAAGGTTTTGAATAACATTTTGACCTCTATGTTGCCCACCACTGTGATGGATCTTACTTCAGTGATCACCGTAGACTCCATCATTGCTGAATTGACCGAGAAACAAGAGCAACAACAAAGTCAGGAAGAGCTTTTAGGGACAACACAGAAACCTCTGGCGACTGAAGAAATACGGGATAAAGCTGATAAATTGTATCAAATCAGAACCGAAAAACAGAAAAACCAACAAAAACAGGCAGCGTTTGTACGTTTGAAGCTCTAATTTTTTATGGGTGGTTTTTTTGTGTTCTTTTGGTTAAATACTTTTTGGATCACAATTTGAGGACTTCATCACTACTTCTTTATATTTTCAAAATGTATCTAGTAATGAAATTTACTTTTCAGGCAGAGAAAAACATAGATAAAATCGAAAAAGCACTGGAAGACATGAAAAAGATTCAACTAATGCAGCAAGAAGTAGGAGAAAATGCCTCTCTTCTGTCCCAAGGTGGTCTGGATGTTAGCACTGAGAAGGTCACCATTGAAAGTATCATGAACAGGACGGAACAGTATATAAAGGGAATACAGCTGGACTTTGGAACAGATGGAAATGACACACACACTGACAATCAGACAATACTTGATATTCAGGTACTTTAACATATTTAAATTAGAAAAAAAGATTGAATTATTATTCTAAAAACTAGCGAAGTGATACTAGCTATAGTATCCTAGCACAAATAATACATTCTTCAAATTGAAACACTCTGTGATTATTTTGAAGTATAATGGATGTTTCCATCATATTTCTATGTTGTTATATGGATGTTTCTGTCTTGTATTTCTGAAAAATAATAATAGAGCATTTATATTGTGTTTGATTTAACTTGTATCTGAAATATTAGTACATATTGAACGCCGGTACATATTGAACAAAATTAGAATATGTCTGAAATATATGGTCCATGCAACCATAGAATAAAAGTGCTGATTTGAAGACTTTGAAAATATTTTATTACCTTTTAACTGATATTTTTGACTTTAAATAGGTCGTTGTCTATGACAAGAACCCCTATATTTATGGAGAAAATCCTGAAGCTTCTGCTGTAACATCTCAAGTGACATCAGTCAATGTCAGTGGTGGAATTAGACCAGATGTAAAATTCAAAAATAAAGGAAGTACACTGTATCAGGATTATATTCCAAAAATGGATCCCAATGACCCGGAGAAAATCATTTATATCACATTCACAATGAAAAACGAGGGGGACGCAGCAATAGCTTACATCAAACCCCACGATATGAACCCTAGTGATAAGAGGACCCATTCTCTTTATACCTTGTATCTAGGGGGTGTGACGTATCCAAAATCATCATCTTACGATTTTTCTAAGACATTAACTATGAATGATTGGTCAGGTTATGGATTCAAAACTTTTATTCGACAAGGATTATGTCACAAAGGTTCATGTTATATTGGTCTCAAGCCACTGGAAAGTAAGTATAAGAAAAACTGGTTTTTTTAAATATATATATTATTTGTGCAGCATAAGTCATTATAGTATTACATCAACGGGGAGATGATGATATACAAGAAGATGTATCAATATTTTATACGCCAAGATGGATTTTTTTTCAAAATTATGTGAAAATCCCATCATGCCTCCACAGAATAAACATTTTAAGTTTTGATTTATTAGATATTGACAACGAAATTAGAAATTGAGCTTGATTTACTTATTTGGATACTAATATTATCTCCTCCTTGACAAAAGTGATAGCCTTTTAAAAGCTTAGTATGTTTGCCCCAATCCATCTAAAACAAATAAGAATATAAAAGCTTTCTCGTTTTAATTCCCTATTCATGTTCTAATGAATCTAAACTGTTGTTCCTCCCCTCTTATCAGGAGAAATAGAAGTGTCGGTACCCCTAATAATGTGGAGGAAAATTGAGGTATCTGTACATGTAAAGTTTTTATACAGTGAAACTGAATCAAAGGGCACACAAACTCCAGTCTGGTCCGATTTGAGATTGAATGATCTAAAAAAATAATTGATTTGAATCACATTGCATTAGAGCTTTACTATATAAAATAATTCAAAATTTTGTTTATTAAATAGAGATCGATTACAGCTCTTTTGCTAAAAGAAGCAGGCAAAAGCGCCAGGCACCTTTAACAACCGCAAGTTCGAACAACTCCACTTTAGAAGATGTTGTAGCCAATTTTAGTGTTATTATCGTCACCACTGGTTGCAGATCGTGGGACGCACGAGCAAATGCTTGGGTTTCCAAAGGATGCACGGTATCTTAACGGCCGACATTTTTTTGAATATGACAAATGTTAGCTATCTGAAAAAGAAAGATATTAAATATGATGTATCCTGCAATGTTAAGGTTCATTCATGAATTATTTTTTTTTTAGTTTTGCTACTGTATGGTGCTAAGTCTAACGTTTATGTTATTTATGCAGGTTTTACCAATGAGTACTCTTAACGAAACAATATGCAGATGCCCCAACCCTTCGACAGGGAGTATTTTTGCATCCACTTTCTACGTACCGCCCAACATGATTGATTTCAACACTGTGTGGAGTAAATTCGATCCTTCAAATGCAGCTGTTTATGGAACCGTTATTGCTCTTCTCGTAATATACGTCATAGCAGCAATCTTTTTACGACGGGAAGACAAAAAGGATATTGAAAGGGTATACTTATTATTGATACACTTCCCTAACAATTCAAAATAGGGAAATAATATCTTTACAATGCGCATATGTAGGTTTTAGATTTTAATTATTTATGGCATAAAGTGAAAACGATCGCGAGCACATTGCATGGATATAATACAATAGAGACAGAAACTGAATACGAAGAGGTTTTGCAAAATAAGTACCTTTTTGCGACACCTTAATTTCGCGAGACAGTCATTAACTCTTTCTTAGCGACGCAAAATTTCACGAATTGTGGTTATTACTCTGTATATAGCCCTAAGGAATACTTATGTACGCGAAAATGAAACTTTCGAGAGCACAATGCCTCTATAATGCGAAAATTAAGTTCACGAGAATTAAACGTGATTTACAGTATGCTGACCATGTACCATTTCTTTCTTTGCGACAACACAGTTATGTACCGTTTTTTTTTTTTTTTGATAATTCTTGTGACAGTGGACCATCCATTTCCTGGTGGACAGTGACTCTACTGATGAGTATTTCTACATGATAACCTTATACTGTAGATCACTTAATTTTTTGCGACACCTTATTTTCGCGTGACAGTCATTATCTCTTTCTTTGCGACGCATAATTTCACGAATTGTGGTTATTACTCTGTATATAGCCCTATGGAATACTTATATACGCGAAAATGAAACTTTCGAGAGCACAATGCCTCTTGTAATGCGAAAATTAAGTTCACGAGAATTAAACGTGATTTACAGTATGCTGACCATGTACCATTTCTTTCTTTGCGACAACACAGTTATGTACCTTTTTTTTTTTGATAATTCTTGTGACAGTGGGCCATCCATTTCCTGGTGGACAGTGACTCTACTGATGAGTATTTCTACATGATAACCTTATACTGGAGATCACTTAATTTTTGCGACACCTTATTTTCGCGAGACAGTCATTAACTCTTTCTTAGCGACGCAAAATTTCACGAATTGTGGTTATTACTCTGTATATAGCCCTAAGGAATACTTATGTACGCGAAAATGAAACTTTCGAGAGCACAATGCCTCTATAATGCGAAAATTAAGTTCACGAGAATTAAACGTGATTTACAGTTTGCTGAACATGTACCATTTCTTTCTCCTTGCGACAACAAAGTTGTGTACTTTTTTTTTTTTTGATAATTCTTGTGACAGTGGGCCATCCATTTCCTGGTGGAAAGTGACTCTACTGATGAGTATTTCTACATGATAACCTTATACTGGAGATCACTTAATTTTTGCGACACCTTATTTTCGTGAGACAGTCATTAACTCTTTCTTAGCGACGCAAAATTTTCACGAATTGTGGTTATTACTCTGTATATAGCCCTAAGGAATACTTATGTAACGGGATAGCGCTCAATGGCTATCCCACTTCTGACACCAAAAATTGTAGCGAGATAGCGTCCAACGACTATCTCATTTAAGTATTGCTATAGTGGTTCTAGAAGACGGGAGTAAACTCCTTTTTTAAACACTGAGTCAATAACACTAAACTCGAAATTTAAGTTTTATAAATTTATTGAGTCTGCAAAACCAACATGAACAATTTTAATGCAAAGATAAATAATAATATCCAGGCCTTTTAACCACCCTTTTTACTGACAAATTTCACAATATTAAATAAATCCTAATAAACAGCCGGATCTCGAAATAATCGAAATATATGGCTGAAACCTATCTATTAAACTTAATTATCAATGAATAAAAGATTATTAACAACTGGAAATTCAGATACGATCGGATCCTGGAATAATCAAGATATATGATCGTAAATTAATCCCCAAAAGCTGTTAAAATTAAACTTTCCCCCAATTAAATTAAACCAATTACCGAATTACAATTAACAATTAGCAAATAATTACCAATTTCGTCTAAAAGCCCAAAATAATTACGTTAACCCTAGCATCAAAAATAGCAGACTCCCCGATTTACGGAAGAATCTCCCCTTTTATACTCTAGAGAAAATTCGTATACAAAACTCTTACGAATTCGTATAAATTCTTACGGAATATACGAAAAATACGGAAAATCTTATACGGAAAATAGTTCCATTAAGATAATTCGAACAATAATAAGTATTTCACCATAAAATAACTTGACTTTCATTCATTCAACAATAATTAATTAATCAATTACCTCATAACTGTTCATTTTTACTTCTTTACAAAACCCCAAGGGCGTATTAATAATACCGCGGATCAAGAGAAAAATAAACCGGAAGTAATGCAATACGCCACCATGTTAATAGAAAAATAGACTGTCTGCAAGCCTACAACACATGTCTGCACAATACAGGTAAAATACTAGTGAAAAACGTAATTTAAACAAAACATCTAGTGGTCCATACTCTTTTAACAACATGTATGCAATTATTTCAACAAGGACATCATTAAATACGAAAGGATATGCATGTATTACATGTACTCATTCTACTTTCACTTTGCATACGATGACATTACAAGTCGTGAATCCAATTTCAGAACATCACATAATAAATGTGCAATACATATGATCAAATTACTCAAAGTGTGAACCAAAGAAAGTGTTAAATGAATATGCCAAGCTTTGTAATTTAAAGACAAATAAAAAATATGGGGACTTGAAATGACCAAACTTTACACTACCCCTCCGTTTAAAGATTCATGTCCTCATGAATAATAATACTATGGCAATGCCATTACAAGTAAAAAAAATGATAAATATGTACAGTTCATGAGATTGTGAATATTAATAGCAAAATAGCATTCATAACAAGTTATCAACATGTAAACTGCTCATCAATTCACTCATAAAAGTTTATATAATACACATCAAGTTCACCTCAACGGTACCTTAATATGTTATAACATCTTTAATAAACATATACAGTCATGTCTGTATTAACAAAAATCCACCCCTAGCCCACTTCTACTGAAATAGTTTACCCAAATGTACATAGATCATGCAAAACACTAACAATACAAATTCAATTTAATCTTAACTATAATTTCCTTACTTCCTCCTATTAAATTCTGCCTGGTATCTTTGATAATGATCATTCCTCTGCCTTACTGGAGACCTGGATCTTCTTGTAGATTGATGCGCAAAGTCATTCCTTGTAGGTCCGTTAGGTTCACTCTGGACTGTTTGTTGACTAGTATCCACTGCTCTTATCCATTGATCCTGTCCCTCAAGGCCACATGTTTCCAAACTCTGGCCAGGAATATGGAAACAGGGACCCTGTTCCATGCTGGATCTCTGCAAGAAAGAACCACACATTTCAAAAGATTTTTCCCGACATATAAATCTGTAAGATAAACAGGTACATTGGAATTTCCATCTCCCTTAGTATTGTTCAATTGAGCAGAGTTATTCTCCTTTTGGGAGTTTTTAGTCAACTGTATCCTTCTAGTTTGCTGGTGACTTTGTTCAGAGATGCTTTCTGAAGACAATATCACTTCTACATTTTGAGGATCTACAAGTTCTGCTTCCCCTAAAATTTCATCTTGTTTGATAATAACATCTGTCTTAAAGGGATTCATTACCCTTATCTTTGCACAAACTTTATTTTCTAAGTCTGTCAAACATGACGCCATCAGAAGAGAAAATCTATTGTTGAAATCTTCCGAAGGTTCAATACAAAATACATAGTAAGGTAAATTCTCGTCACTTTCAAACCTGTCAACAAAAACATCAATTAATTACTCACTGTATGCAGGAATTGTAAAATTCTCTGCAGCTAAGACCCTTCTAGTTTTCTCTGTCAGTTGCCTGACCTTGATTTTATTTCCTCTGAAAGTAATGAAATTGTCATGTAATTCTATTTTAACAGGTCCATTTTCTTTTTTTAATAAAATATCTAATCCTAAAAGAGCTTCATCTTGAATTTCAGCCACAATAATTTCCTCTGTGAATTTTACATGGCCCAGTTGAACTTCAAAAATGGCTTTACCCAACTCATTCAAGGGTTCCCCATTAACACTAGTTAATGCATTTGACTGTTTTAGTTGTGGTCTTGATTCTCTGGGGATTCTCTCAAAAATCCTTTTAGATATGATTGACCTTGTGGCTCCTGTGTCAGTGGTCCATTCTATTTCTACACCCTGTACGGAACCACTCATATATATGCCAGGACTCCCATTTATCTGCCTGAGGATGTATTCAAGAGAGGAACCATGGTGCTGAAGATCTTCAGAATTAGTACATTCATCTTGTACTGGTCTACAGGAATCTTCCTGACCACACCTGTGGATTTCATCTGCAACAAAATCATGACTCAAACTTGGATTATCAAACAAAAATGAATTGCAGTTTACCTGACCTGCATTTACATTTAACTCTGGGCAGTCTACCTGACTGTCTCCCAGGTTACATGTACCATCCCAGCAGTCTACCTGACTACTATCAAGGGATTCAGAATTTGGATCCACCCCCCAGTCTTCCTGACTGAATCCATGACTTGCTATTCCAGGTACCACCCCACAGTCTACCTGACTGTGTTCAAGACTCACAATTCCAGGTACCACCCCCCAGTCTTCCTGACTGAATCCATGACTTTCAAAATCCGGTACCACCCCATCCGGCTCCACTCCGAGCACTAAATTCAGCTGCTGTTCAGCAGTATGAAGTTTGTCCAAGTTTGTGTTACACCTATCCACCGTCATGATATTTGTAGAACCTTTTCCTTCAGCACCAGGGTTGTCCTCTGTTTTCTTTTGACTAAAATTAGAATAATTGTTGTCAATATTAATAGAACAATCAAGAGTTGGGCCATTTTCAAAATTCAACTGGGTCATCTCTCGGCCAACAGAGCTGACCCGTTTTAGTTTAACGAAGGCTTGAAGACATTTGCACCAGGATTTAATGGTGCATTATTATGCATCACTTCTTGCTTTTTCTCACTGGAGCAGTTTCTGGCAAAGTGCCCTTGCTCACCGCATCTAAAGCAAATTAAAGGTTTCCTGGGCCGTTGCACTTGACTTCCACTGTTGGGCTGAACTGCAGTTAAAA